GTTATCCAATAGATAACGCTAAGGTTGTCTTAAAAAAATCATGTTTATTCTGGTTTTTTATGGCTAAATGTTTTCTTTTTTCTGATGCTGTTCCACTCCTTCTGTTGCATGTAATTTTGTACGTGTTTAGTAAAGCACTTGTACACAAACACACACATGACCAAAAATGTAATAAATTACACACAAAACAAACACACACACACACTCACACACAAACATACGGCCTTGGCGGAGGTTTGCGCTCTCCGAGTGCTTCTATTTTCTAATAGTATCACCATTTCTAATATTGTTATAATTTTTTTTACATTTACAGGTGACCTTTGAGCAACACAAAGAAAATTTGTCTCGCATGTTCCGTCAATACCAGCAACAGGAGTCCACGAGCTCTCAAAACACAGTTCTAACTGTCTCCGGTGTCAGCCAAAGCTCAGAGACGACAAAAAGTGTTAATGGGCCAACCGCAGAGGAGATGGCGCCCTCGACTGTCATTGAGCTTACAGTGGACAAACGGTCTCAGATTTCCATTGACTCAGCATCTAGTTCCACTAACACCTCCAGGCCACTGGAGGTTGAGGAGGATAGAGGCCAAACATCCATCACTGTGTCCAACATTCTGGCCAGGACCGAAGATGAAGGGCAGAAGGCGGCGGCAGTAGAGGAGGAGGAGTTATCCAAAGATCACTCAGATGTTGAAAAAGAAATTGAAGCTGCTCCATCACAAAAAACTAACACGGAAGAGCACAGTGAAGACACTGAAAAGGAAAAAGCAGCAACAGAGGTAGCAGATGAGAAAAGCAGTGATGATGTAGAAAGGGCAGATCACAACCAATTTGCGACCACTGACACAAAAACAGAGGAGGTGGACGGAGACTCAGCAATGTCTACAAGTGATGATGCACAAACAATTGATGAAAAATCAGTGGAGCACACCACAAGAGAAGCATCAAATACTGCTACAGAAGACTCCTTAGATGAAAAAGTTACAGAAAAAGGAGATACGCCTCACCAAATGTCCTCTGAGCCTGAAACATCTCAAGAGAACAGTGTTGTTGGTGGAGCTTCTGTCTTCGGTGAAGACTTGTTTGACGCATCATCTGTCAGTGACCAGATCCTTGCTAGCGATGCTAATGGTAGCCAAGAGGAGCCCTCTTTTATTTCTGCTACAACTGGAGAGGAAGGGGAGGTGGTCCAAAGGGAGCAAGATAAACCTGATGACGAAGGTGACACAAATGATCACCAAGAACAAGAGTCGAGAGTGGAAACGGAAATGCAGGATGTTGAAGGAAAAGAAAACGAAGAAAGGAAATCTGAGGAAAAAACAGTATCTTCGTTAGACAGTCAGACTCCTCCAGCTGAAACGCCTGAAGAAAATGTTAGTAACCAACAGTCTTCCTCCAATACTGAAGGTGCTACTGCAGACCAGCAGTCCTCAGATGCTCCAACACCCTCTTCAGTCCAGGAGGCTGCTGCAGCTTCAGACTCCACTTCCCTGAACCAGCCTTCAGAGCCCAGTGGGACAAGTGCAGGAGAGACCCCAGCTGGTGCCTCTGATGGTATCACCGCCACTGCCTCCAGCCCCAATACCCACAAGAAAACAGATTCTGTTAGCAAAACCAAAGAGATTAAAATTGCCCGACTAGATGTGTCCAATGTGGCCTTGGACACAGAGAGACTTGAACTGAAGGAAACCTCTACAACCGTAAACATCTATTTTCTAATCAAACCTAAATCTTCCATTCTCCTGGTCTCACTCTGTTTTAAAGTTTGCTTTCTTGGTGTCTATTTGCAGGAAACAAGCCAAGGCCAAACATCAGTAGTATCATCAGCAGCAGCAGCAGCAGGAGAAGTGGGAAGTACTTCAAGCCAACAAAGAGAAAGCAGCACATTGGCTCCTCGCTCCACCATGTTCCGTATCCCAGAATTCCGTTGGTCCCACATGCATCAACGCCTCCTCACTGACCTACTCTTCTCTGTTGAGACAGACATCCAGGCATGGAGGAGGTAGGATGAATGTAAAAGTTTGATCTTAAGCCTCACAAGAGGAAGATTGGATATGAGTTTAATGGAAATGCTGTTCAACTGTTTGATTCATGTTTTGAAATAATCAGGTGTTTGGACTTTCAGGAATTTGGGAAAATGGGGAGGGGTATGAAGCACCTTGTTTGGATTTAAAGAGCATCAAAGCGATCTGCTTTGAGACATGCCTGAGAAAAGGGGTGAAAGAGGGGCTTGTGGAGTTCAAATAAGGAGGGATTCTGACCAAATCATTGCAGTTCCACTTTATATAGACCCAAATTTAATGGTTTAACCATGGTTTCACCTTCCATTTGCTAAAACAATATTTCTTTCCTTCTCCTTTTAGTCACTCCTCAAAGACGATTCTGGACTTTGTGAACAGCAGCGAGAACGTCGTGTTCGTGCACAACAGCATACACGTCATCTCCCAGGTGGTGGACAATCTCATCATGGCTTGTGGAGGCATTTTACCTCTGCTGTCTGCTGCCACATCTTCCACTGTGAGTCCCTCGTTGCTCTGCGTCTTCCGTTTGCGCTTTTTCCTCTGCGGCTGTGTGTATGTGGCTGACGGCACGGGTCACTAGAAGTTATCAATCCACATTGACCTTTTCCAATCCCATTAGACTGCAGTTAGTTGCCTCCTAACAATGTTAGTTTCTTTCTGTCTTGGCTGACCTCAAAGACTGCAGTGATTCTGTCTGTGACCTGAGCAGCCTGTCTGGGAAACGGGTCAATTCTGATGTAATTCAGTTACCTTCGGCTTTGTGGTTCCTGTAACTAAATTTAAAACTGAACGTAAAAAAAAAAAAAATTGCACTGTTACATCTGTGATGCAAAACAGTGTGAGTAATCCTTTATGTTTCTAGGTAGAATTAGTCAGAGATGATATAAAACGTTCTTAAGTGAATGTTAGTTTATTGTTCCATTTGAATGCAGAAAAACAAAATAGATTTGTACTTATAGTAAAAGTATAAATCTTTACTGCTTGAAAATCAGCTACAAAATATTTATCCTTTTTTGTTTTACTTACATTCTTATTTGTAACTTACTGTAGATGTTTTTGTCTTTTGCCTCCCAGCATGAACTAGAAAACATTGAACCATCCCAAGGTTTGGCGGTGGAAGCTTCAGTCACCTTCTTACAGCGCCTCATTAACCTCGCAGACGTTCTCATCTTTGCCAGCTCCCTTAACTTCACAGAGATAGAAGCAGAAAAAAACATGTCATCCGGTGGGATCCTGCGACAGTGCCTTCGTCTGGGTAAGAACACCGAACGTTATTTAATATAACAAACTTTTCCAAATCTGTTGTGTGTCGCAGGGCTGTTCAGCTGGCGGCCTGTAGGCCACATTCAGCTCCATGGGTGACTTCAGTCCAGCCCGCCAATGAGTTCATAAAAAAACGTATTTGCTTTCATTTAATTTGTGTTTTTTTCTTGTCATTCTTCGTAAAAGGTGACCAATGACCCATGGTCAAAGGTTTTCTATTGCTAGTGCTCCAATGTGGGCGCAACTCCTACATTGGTTTTATGGCACCTGGTATTCCCAGGTAGACTCCCATACTGACTATTCAGGGTCATTTAACATAAACATTTATTTTTAGATCAATTAAATTTTTTTCACTTGTGATTTTTAAGCTGCAAAATAGTTTTAAACGGTAAATATAATACTTCTATTATTTTACAGTGTTTCCTCTACCATTATCAGGCAACAATCTTAATTAAGCTTATCAAACAAACAAAAACCTTAAAGTGCCTGTGACATCAAATTTTTGTAACAAATGTGAATGCGTTTTAGGAAAGAGAACATTGATAGCATATTGCAAAACAAATTTCACACCGTTGAGATGAACATTTGTTGAGATATTTGCATGTGAAGAAACAGGAAGTGATGTCAAAGGGGAATGTCTGTATGTAAACAGAGCAATGCTACAGTAATTAGAGAAGAATCTGATGTTTCTTTAGATTATTTTGAGTCACTATCAGAGCTCAAAAGTTTAAATAAGATTGTTTCAATGAAGACTAGAGAGTTTCTTTTCTTAAAGAGTTCCCATTTGATGTCACTTCCTGTTTCACTTTGCTGAGCCAAATTCAAGAAAAAAAATAGGGCCGTTATGAGACAATAGGGGTAAAATTATGTGTATTATGCTAATTTTCTTAAATATAAATGTTTTCTTTTACTTTTTGTATTTGAAAGATAAGCATGTCACAGGCCCTTTAAAGATAGAGGATATATTTGAGCTCATAAGCAAAAAAAAAAAAAACATAAAAAAATAAAAAAAGATTATTTTTTTGCCTCTATCAGATAAATAGGCAACATGGGTGTGAAAATCTTAATGATTGCTAGAGTGTATAGCAATAAAATAATAAAAAATAAGCATAATTTTCAGATGAGAAGTAGTACTTCTGAGTTTATATTCAACAGTGAGCAGATCCCAGTGAAACTAAGTATTCATTTGATGTATATCTGCAACTGAAAAATTTTTGGAGTCTCTCAATTCCAACAGAAAAATTGATATGACTCTTTAACTTTTACATTTAATAGGCCAGTGTGTATAAGGTGATAGCTGCACATCTCATGAGGTCTCCCAGTATCACATGAGCTGGCACATATTCTGAAAGGTTTGTCTCCAAAATGGCTTCAACTCTGTAATTTATCAACATAAGAGGATCTTAGTTTAAAACTCTTTGAAAGAATTATGTTCATTTGCAAACCCAAGTTATACACAAGAAATCGATTCAGATTTAGACTTGAATATTTATTTACAATATGCAAGGTTTACCACTACCCTTCAGCGCTGGTCCAACATACTCAGGATTTCAGGTCCCTGGTATTTGGCCCTGTAACATTCACAAGCAACCAGTTTTATTAATTTTCTTCAGAACTGAGTCACGCCCCCTGGAAATGACATCATGGTAAAAAGGGAGTGACCACCTTTTCTGGGTGTCTTGGCTCTCATAAAGGGAAGTCCTGCAAGCTTAAATGTAGAAACATCATGTGTCTAGTTGTGTTGTTTTAGTGCAAGGTGTGTAACTAAATAGACACTAGGCAGTTTTTGTTCTTTCTAAAATCATAACTTAATCACAGTATTAGACTAAAAAGATGATTGCATATTATTTAAAAAAATATTCTAAACATCTCAATATGTACATGTGAAATGTATTTAATAATCAATAAAAATAAGTAAAATATCTATCTTAAAGGCAGCTGTCAATATGCTTTCCTTCAAGGAATAATAAACCTTTAATTTTTCTTCATGTCCTCAATTTTTACTCTTTTTTTCAATCCTTTTGATTTTTTTTAGAACACTAGGAAATCTTCCACATTAGCCACAGTCAAGTTTCTGTTGCCTTGTTTTAACTTCTCGTTTCTGCCTTCTTCCTCTTGATTTGCCTCTTAACTCAGTCCTTTTCAGTCTGCTCGTATCAGCTCTCTGCTCTCATGTTATGTTATTATAACCCTAGTGCATGGCAACACTTGAAAATGGCTGCTAGTATGATATAGTGAGTTGTCCATAATGGCCTTGGCTGTACGGTGATGCTGCATAGCCTGGAGCGTTGTTCTGCACTACGTCCCAGGCTATTAAAGTTTCCTCTGACAGCACTGAAAGTCTGACATCACAATCGCTGAATAAAAGATACTGAGATTGTTACATTATTCAGTTTTGTTGTGGTGGGCACAATGAGGATGGTAAACAAGTATAACCCCCCCCCCCCTTTCTTTTTTACAACTCTTCTAATCATTTTTCATGCTTTTTTTTGTTTACAAAACAGTGCAAATTATTTATTTATTTATTTAAATGTTTTGGGCACAGTAACCGTTACAAACAAAAGTGCTGTCAGAATACAAAGTTATAATCCAGAGATGCCCGTGTTTTCTCAGATTACGTTGTTTCTGCGAGGGTTTTTCACTGTACAGGTTTTAGAAAGCAGCCTGTATGAAATGAATATTTGATGAGGTATGCGCTCCCCATCGCTGGCATCTAATCTGATTTTGGAAAACTGTAACAAGATTTTGGCGTCTCCTCCTCCACCACCCCCACACACACAAACACAAACACACACACACACACACACACCCACACACACACACACACACACACACACACACACACACACACGCTCTCATTTTATAAATGGTTGTGTGAAAGAGTGGTCCTAATGGAAAAAGCGAGCCCATTTTCCAAACTGTATAATTCCCCTCCTCGTAATCTTAATGCTGCAGAGTTAACATTTGTCAGTTGTCAAGTGCACGCAGTGGTGGGTGGGTGGGGGTCCTGCGAGGAGCGAGGAGCAGTACATTAAATTACAAATGTTGAGCATGTCACTTCTGAACCTACCTAAAGTTGTCGGGGCAATAAGATATTTTTTCTGTGGCGAAGGACGCGTCTTGCTGCCTACTCAGCATGTGCGCACCCCGGCAGCGTCATTTGTTATGTGAGCTGCACACGGTGAATATGATTCAGGAGAACGCCCTGGCACTATGACCTTGGGAGGAGAGGTGGAGCAGGGAAGAGTGAGCGGTGCTGCCAGAGTTGGCCAAAGCACTGACCTTGTCGTGGCCCCACTTTTTCTTTTTTTTTTTCTGTCTCTCTCAGCTGCTTTCGTTCTCTCTCCTCTCTCCTCTTCACGTCTTGGATTTTCATCCCTTTTGTCGCGTTTGAATTGCAGAAGCACAACCGCAGAGTGTTTAGTGAACATTTTAGTTTAGCGTGTCACATTTGTCCCCTTTCTTCCCTCTTTAGTATGCGCTATAGCGGTGAGGAACTGTCTGGAGTGTCAGCATGCCCAGTTTAGGCATGAAGGTTCGGCACGAAGCTTCACTGTCATGCCCAGCACTGTACTGGGAACAGCCATGTCTGCCTCTGCCCAGGCGAGTAAACCAGAAATTCTCTTTAAAAACTGTTTTGAATCAGGTAAAGTTTTGCCTTTTAGGTACACATGTTCAAAGTTTAAAATTAAACACACTCCCATTGTGCTGATAATCTTTTGTATTATTAATAGAAATAAAAAAATAATAATTTTTAACCATTTTAAACATTGAACCACAAGCAGCTTTGTCCTTTGTCCTCATCTCCAGCAGCATCTGTGTGTTATTGTATTAGCTCATGTCTTATTATGTTACTGCACACGGTGCTATTTGTTACACTAGACTAGACCCTTTGTCATTGCCCCTTTGATTTGATACAGTGACTTCCAGTAAAGTCCTGTTGTTCTTCCCTGAACTGGGTGCTAAAGCTCATTTATAATGCAGCAGCTCTATGGGAAAGCCCTCGTGTTAAGGACGTGATCCCTGGAGGGATAGCTTTACGCTGCTGTTAAACTTCACCCTACTACCAACTTCTGTTCTTGAATTGGTGCAATAAACATTCTGATTGATGTAAACGTGCACGCGCTGTTTAATAATACATTTCACGTGTTAATGGACTGATTTTCACGAATGTTTACAGAGCCCCGTGGATGCAGTGACAGGCGGCGTGTCTCCTGTCAGAGACTTGGACCGACTCCTTCAAGACATGGACATTAACCGCCTCAGGGCTGTTGTTTTCAGAGATATTGTGAGTTGCGCAACGAAGACGTGTATAACGTACACAAACCCGCTCCTCTTATTTTAGATGCTTTATGAAGAAGACATAACCAGACTGTTTAGTGTATTCTTGTTTGTTTCAGGAGGACAGTAAGCAGGCTCAGTTTTTGGCTCTTGCTGTGGTCTATTTCATCTCAGTCCTCATGGTTTCCAAGTATCGAGACATATTGGAGCCCCACAATGACAAGAGACACCCTCAGCGTTCACAGTCTTCAAGGAGTACAGGTATTCAGATGTTTTTTATCGCATACTGCTGAAGGTGAAGACAGAGCAGTGTTGTTTTTGTCTTTGTTAGCAAAACATCTCATGAATCAGTTTGAAAGAAACTCTCAGAACGTATTGGATAAACAGTTAATATCATTCAAGATGGCCAACACACATTGGTCAGTTGGTCACATTAATGATCACAAAAATGGCTGTGACTCAGACATTTTTACAGATATCAAACTCAAATTTGGTTGTTGTAGTAGCTGAGACTCATCCCCAACACATTCTCCAAGCAGAAACTGACTGAGCAAGATCTGTTTTTAAAACTTTGCTATTAACTTTTGGAGTCAACTCTGTCTATTAGCAAAAAAAACAAAAAAAAAAAACAACAACCAAAAAACAAGAACCACAGGATTGAATGAAGCCTTCAGGAAACAATCATCAGTTTTATAAAAATATTGAAGTCACCCCAATTCAAGATGTTTGCCACAACCTACTGACCTTAGGGCATGCAAAAATGGAACTAACTGAGCATCTAAATTTGACACATTAGTAGCTGAACGTGTTTTCCAACACATCTCTCAAGAGCTACACATTGAGTGAGATCTTTGTCTAAAACATTTGCATTACCTGTCGAGTCAACCTTGTTAATCTGTTAGCAACATCTCATGAACAACTGGACTGCTTTCAGTGAAAGTTTCAGAAAGTAATCATTAGATATACATTCACAACTGAATGATAATTAGAGTATGCCAAATTCAAGATGGCTGCCACAGCTTATCTACCTCCAATAATAGCCATGGATTTACTCTGGGTATTATGCAAATTCATCTTTTTTTTTAACTTTATATTGTATTATGTCATTCCTTCATCAAAAACATACCCAAAGTGTTGCTTTGACTCTTTTATGAATGTTTGAGAAATCCTTGAATCTCCTGTAGCCATGTGGATCTGTCGGTACAATGCACCGCCTAATTGTATAAAGCTCCTCCCTGGAGCTCAGTCTGTGGCTGAGCTCCCGCCCCACAGAGCACCCCTCCCCAGAAGAATTGTTGTGTTGAGAGGACGCGCTGAAGTGGGAGTGTTGGAAATGGTAGGAGGTTCTTAAAGAGACGGAGATTAATTTCAAGGCATTTAGACTATAATGGAAAGTCAAATATATATATATATATATATCAAAAAAATAAAGGGAACACTGCTGCTCAAAAAAATAAAGGGAACACTTAAACAACGCACGCTAAGTCTAAGTAAATCAAACTTTTTGTGAAGCACATTCAACTCTGTACAGAACAAAGTACTCAATGCAAATATTTCATTGATTAAGATCGGGAGTTAGCGTACGTTGTTTAAGTGTTCCCTTTATTTTTTTGAGCAGTGTTTATACGTATATACACACATATACAGCATTTTCATAGTAACTGAAGTTAAGATAGTTTTTTTGATAAGCTACCTGATTGTGGTATAGATCAAACAATGTGCCTGGAAAATATATGTACCTCCTCTTTAATATCTAAGTGGGAGTCATCTTCAACACATGCCGAGCACTAACATCTTCTGAAATGTGAATTAATCATCTTGAATTAAAACTCAGTCTTAAAGGGCAGGGTGCGATTATGCATATCTTTCAAGTAGGGCTGCGATTGCGACCTTGAAGTCAACAATTATTTTTATAATCAGTTAATCACCGATTATTTTTTTCGATTAGTCGACTGATCATATGTTAATTGAATATAAAACACAGATTATCGCACCAGAATGCAGCTGCTATTATATGACCATCGTTAGATTTTAGCTATATGCTAACTAAAAATAATTGCGGTGGAAGGATAGTTCTGCTCTGCAGATATTGCACAGGTTCTTTCATTTTCTTAAAATGATCCCACACTTTTCAGCTTTGTTGCTGGCTAGCCATGATACCAGAGCCTGTCTGTATAATGTCTTGTGACGTCCACAGCCTACCCCAGTTACCACGACTGTGCATGTGTGTCAAGGACAGAAAGGCAGATGTGGCAGTGGAATGTGTCAAAGCAGTTTGGAGAGAAAAACAAAGTAAAAAACAAACAAAACAAAAAAAAAACTAATCGACTATTAAATTAGTCGTCAACTATTTTAATAGTCAATTAGTTGTCGACTAGTTGACCAATCATGGCAGCCCTACTTTCAAGGAATGCTATGCTTTTTATTTCAAGGTGAAATCAACTGAATTATACCATGCATGTCTTTTAAAAAAAGCTCTGTTTCTAAACTCCTCCTGCTTTCTACCCTTAAAATAATAATAAATCTAAGACTTCTGTACTTAAATGCCTTTCATCTGCTTGAACTTTTTATAACTCTTTGAAGGGATACTAGTGCTGTAACAAAAATCCCCCTGCCGTGACTTTATGACTGACATTTTTCATCATTATCTGTGTCTCTTTTTTTTTTCAGACAGCGATGTGGTTTCAGGTGGAGCTGAGGTAGAAAATGGCTTCTCTCTGAGACGCTATGATTCTGGTCTCGGTGACGACCACGCCTCGGCTGCCGCGAGCGAGGCGGACCTGTCATCCTCTGGTGTGACTCACGGTCCAGACGCCATCTCGGAAGCCTTGTCTACGCTGTCATCCGAGGTCAGAGCTGCTCCGTCTGACTCAAAGGGCAAGAATGTGAAAGACATCCTGCGTAGCCTCGTCAGCGCTCAGTCCGACGATTTCATGGTGGACCCAAGCCTGCTGCCACCAGCCTTCCTCGGACCTGTGGGCGGTGTGGCCAGAGACCCATCCCTTCAGTTTCGCTCTTTTGATAGGTGAGAGCTAGCATTTACACATCATACGTAGTTCATAAATCTTCTAGTTCTGCGCCACACGTTCCTGACTGTGGGGAAACAGTTTAGAGAGGAAAAACAATTTTTTTTATTGAAACCTGCCAGCTTTGTCAGTTTCTGAAAACCCAGATGATACAACGTTGACAGCTTTATGCCGTTCATCCTAACGCACACCTGCAGGGGACTTTTGAAAGTCAGACCTTGAAGTCATCTCAGGCTGTAACCTCAGAGGAGGCCTTGGTGGAGTTTTGAAAACATCCTATAACACACAGGAGTCTTTTCCTTTGAACTCCCCGTGTTCGTACTGTTAGCTGACAACGCTCCCCCTCACCCTAAGCAAAATGTTTTCTAAAGAGCCAGCTTAGGAAAAACAGGAGTCCTATCTGTGATGAAGAGACAAAAACACCAAGCTTCACGTTACCACTGATGTTTAACAGCTTTTTTTTACTTACTCTTCCTGCTTGTCTCGCCCAATCTGACATTCGCAAAGCATCTTCCTGTTTTTCTAGAGAGTAAAAAAAGGAATAATTTACATTACCTCTGATGTGAGGTAAATAGTCAGGAGCATGGCTTCAAAGACAGCAGGGCACTGAAGTCTCAGACAAACCCAGGTGGAAGAAGACAGTTATTGGTCTGTTTTTTATTTAGAACCGTTGATTCTCAGACATTTTCGACACAACAGAAAGCAGGTTCTGTGTAAAGAGAGAGAAATGTCGAGGAGGGGGTTGAGGTGGGAGATGGGGGTTTCTCATCAAAGCTCTCAGGTTGTAAAGAGAAAACACTTCTACGTTTTTCTTCCTCTCACTCACAAACACAGTAGGTCTGCTGCCCGCCGGCTGTGGGAATCCCACAGCATTTCTGTGATCGCGTGCCTTTATCTGAGGAATGCTTTGTCAGGTCTCAGGGCGCTCCTCATATCAGGGGGATTAGACTGGCTCCTGTCCGCTGAGCACACTCAGTAGGAAGAGACGACGACAGGAGAGCTGGAGAACGTAGACCAACAGCTCGCTCCGTGTCTGTGGAAGCCTTTTCATGCGGAGAGCATGCCTTACTTCTGTTTCTTTTTACAAAAAAAAAAAATAATAATAATATGACGGAAACCTGGTTAGGGTGTCTCACCTGCACAAAATAATTTTGATATAAGGAAAAAAGAGTCTACGTTTTGTAATTTTATAACTTTCAAACTTAAACCAATTCAGTGTCTTAAAATATTGTTCAGAAAAAAGTGCAATGTAGGTTTTGTACATAGTGCCTTTTTTAATGTTTCTTTTTTGATAGTGCTTGTTTTTGATCATATTCAAATTCATATTCAATTTTTCGAAACCAGGGCAGCCACTATACAACACAATTTTTGTTTCCCCCTTTGGCTAATGTGTATTTTTAAATGTACCAAAATTTAACAATAATTGCTTACCTTAAATCATCATCATATTTAACAACTCTCACAAGAACTTGCACACTGAGAGTTTAGAAGCAAATGTGAGCTGGTTGTTGCGGCTGTCGCTCCGTCTCAGCTGTCTTATTTGGTAATTACCGAAGTATGCGAAAGCATGGCCAATAATTGATTTCTTTTTAAACAAAAGGTGTCCAATAATGGCTGATTTAAAATCTGCCCTTCGATTAGTTTGTCTGGCTCTAATTTACATGCTGCTGAATACTATCCCAATAATATGTGTTTGGCTTTCTGGTAAAGGCAGCACGTTAAATCGTCTTTATTTTTTAAAACTGACGTCTGCTCAATGAACTGATAATTCTAGTCTGTCATTACAGTTTTTAGAAGAATTAAAAAGATAAAGGAAAATGCAAAGAAGCAAGATAAAAAAAGTTTTTCTGTTTGCTTTATCTGTAGTCCTGCTGCACGCTTTCTGACCTCTTCAGTGATAAAATGTTAAGTGTTTCAGCTCATAATCAAAGTCTGTTTTTGCTCAGATTTGTGAAGTTTCACACTTGTCAAGTCTCACTGCTGATGTGCCACATTATTTTGAGGTTACGCTGTCAAACCCACTCTCATCTCTGTGTAATTTGCAGTCTAAAATTTGTTCTCAGCTTGCAACAGTTTTAATAAACAGGCTGCCTCCCACCTTCCACACTTACCAGTTACCTTATGACACGTAGATAAATTCCAACAATATTTATTATGTAGATGCAATAACTCTTATCAGGGCTCAGCATCTCCCACTAACCACTAAGTTGTCCAGCGACACCAGTCGAAGCCAGACCTGACATTCTACACTGACATCTCCTGTCAAAACATGGCAACTTTCAGCCTGTGCAGAGGGCTGGATTTATGAGAGCGATGCATGAAAAACGCAGGGATCTCCCAGATAAAAACTGGGGGTGGGTCACAGGGGTGAAGTATCCAAACTGATTTATTTACAAGTGGAGATCTGCTGGCTTTCTCCCATGCTTTTCTCAGCTATGCCCCTGTTATGACAGCCAGTCTGCAAATATTTGCTGACACTAACCAGAGCTAAACAGTGTCATTGTACATGTCTGTGATTTAGACGGGATGGTTCAGCAGAATATGCGAGCGTTGGACCCTGGGATATACATGGCGCATTTGTTTGCATTCCTGATAACAGACACGGCGTGCGTGTGTGAGCTGAGGTGCGGATGGCTTGTGATGTTGGTGAAATGTTCATGTAATGCTGATAGGAAGCATGTCGGAGTAAAAGGAAAGCTTTTAGTTGACAATTTATGTAATAAAAATATAAATAAAAGTTGAGTAATATGAATACAAATAGTCCCATAAATGTCAACAATATCAGCTTTTGTCAGTATAGGTTGCATAATGAAAATGACCAATTCTCATGAGTTTAAGTTATTTTTAAAATAGTTTTTTAAAACTGATTTTGCTAAACTAATATCACATATACAGAAAACTTTAGTGCTAGAAAAATTAGACATTTTTGATCAGTTCTATTTCTTTAAATACACTGTAGCTTCAGTTTTCTCATAAATCAAGACATTAGTTGTGCAAATTTGCTGACATTTCTTTTTGCTTATTTGGTATTTCAAAAGTTACTGTTTATTATTTTTATATAAAAGTTTAAGTTTGAATAGAAGACATAAAATACAAAATCTACAACAGAAACAAAAGACAAGATTTCTGTTGGTTCATGTTGGTTCATCAGAGCTCTGTCGTAGCTTGTGCAGGAATTTTGTTTTTTGGTAATTCTAGAGATACAGTAGGATTTTGCTTATTAGTCTTTGTTAATGATTTTTCAGTATTTGAAACTACAAAACATGCATACATAATGCTGTAAAATATGTAACAAAATCAATATTTTTATTCTAACCCTTGTTTCAAACTTAAACAATTTTCTATCATTGCTCTTATTTTTTATTTTTATTTTTATTTTTTTTCTACATAGAGTGGAATAATTAGGGTTAGGCAAAGTCGAATTGTGTGCAATTAATCATCAGAAAAACTGTCAATTAATGTTTGCCACTTTGCAATTAATGCATTTAGTGCCAGGTGATGATGTGTTTTTGTGTGCGACTCACTCACTATCAAGTGTGCACGTGAGCCCGTGGCATGTTGCGTTACTGAAGATCTGTTGCCCTTTCACATTATGAAAAAGGTGGGTTTCAAACTTCAGCTTAATTTATTTCATAAAAGAAAGAAAACTATTGATATTCCATTTAAAATTGGTGGTGTTGAAATTTGTAGAGTCAGTGAGGTAAAGTTTCTGGGTGTTATCATAGCTGAAAAGCTGACATGAAGAGCTCATATAGATAATTTAAGAATAAAAATAGCTAAATCTTTTGCAGTATAATATAAAGTAAGAGAGTTATTCAATGATAAATCTCTGTATATGTTGTAAAATGCATTAATTGTTCCACACCTAATTTATTATATTGAAATCAGGGGGAAAGCATGTAAAACAATTACAAATCCCATTTTCATTTTACAGAAAAGAGCTGTAAGAATTATAACCAGAAAACTTTATAGTCACCCATCAAATATATTGTTTTGTCAGTTGAAATTATTGAAATTTCATGAGTTGGTTGATTATAGCAGGTTATGTATAAGGCTCATAAAAACATATTACCTCTAAATAGAGAGCTATTATAATCTTAAGGGGATTGAGATGTTTGTGAAACTTAAATTTTGAACCATTTTGAAGGAACGCTGTACGTCAATTCAGGGAATAAGATTATGGAATAATCTGGAAAGTGCTGTTAAAAATGCCAGATCAATGTTTATGTTTAAGATAATGATTAAAATTGGTTTGTTGAAGAAATATGTAAAATAATAATGTGTACTCATACAAATTTTTGTTCGAGGAGGATTATTGTCGTTTTTGTTTTGTTTTTGTTACTAAAGATTATTAGTATTGTTTATTTTATCTTCTTTTCTTAAAAAGGGACAGATATAAGATTTTTTCTTCTTTCTGCTGCCTTTCATTTTATTTTTGATTTGTATTTTTGTATTTTTTTTTGTATGTAAAATTTGTTATGTTTTATGTGAAATGAAACAAATAAACTTTAATATAATAATAATAATAATAATAATAATAATAATAATAATAATAATAATAATAATAATAATAATAATAATAATAATAATTTAACCGTGGCCTTACTGTCAGTTTTCGGCTGCAGCTAGCTGTTTTAATGTTGGGACTTTTAACAGCAGAGGTACAGGGGTTAGACAATGAAACTGAAACAGCTGTCATTTTAGTGTGGGAGCTTTCAAGGCTAAATTGGACCAGCCTGGTGGCCGATCATTAACTGCACATTGCACCAGTAAGAGCAGAGTGTGAAGGTTCAATTAGCAGGGTAAGAGCACAGTTTGGCTCAAAATATTGCAATGCACACAACATTATGAGTGACCAGAGTTCAAAAAGAGGACACATTGTTGGTGCACGTCTTGCTGGTGCATCTGTGACCAAGACAGCAAGTCTTTGTGATGTATCAAGAGCCACAGTATCCAGGGTAATGTCAGCATACCACCAAGAAGGACCAACCACATCCAACAGGATTAACTGTGGACGCAAGAGGAAGCTGTCTGAAAGGGATGTTATGATCTAAAACCAGGTGTTTCACTTTCATTGTCTAACCCCAGTACGTGCTTATGCTGGTCAGTCATTAACTTTTCAACTTTTATATGCATGAAGTTCCATAAAACAAGTGTTAGGGAAACTGTTTTTTATGTGCGTATATATCAGACATTTTGCTACCTCTTCACACTTGTTGAGCTACCTGAAATAGCAAAGATTACTGGAATCGCAGCGCTGACGGCACTTATCCACTGTAGGTTGAGAGCTTTAAATAATTCAGCCTCAGCTAGGCACATATACTCGTTGCTCTGGGCTCCTGTTTGTGGGTTGAGTGGGGCCGCTCTTGGCTGATTAATCGTCTGGGGCGGCCCACTCATGATAAGTGTGGCTAATGACCTGCTGAATAATTCACAGAGCCTTTGCTGCGAAGCAGATGGAAGGCCAAACACATTCACAAACTTGTTCATGAGCCCACTCCAACATGCTCATGTGCATGTATTAGAATATCTCTGGATACACACACGCACACACACACACACACACACACACACACACACACACACACTCCCAGCCTCCAGACACCAGGGGTCTTCTATCGCTTCTCCCTTCTTTACTGCTGTTGACACCCAGGATGCTTCACGTCAGCGCCGCCTCTGCTCCCAGATACCACCATCCAGCTCCTTCACTGTCTAAACAAAAAGTTACAAGATAATTTTATCTCCATTATTCCTTGTTATCACTACCAGTTTAATTTGGTTTTCATTTTAATTGTGTGTTTGTGTCTGAAAATGGTGCCTCGGTACGATATTTTGTTTCAAACACCACTTCCTAGCCTCTTAAATCATCCTTCATACCTGATGTTTTCAGCTGAAAAATGACTCAGCTCTGGCTGCAACACGCACGGCTACTTTTAGAAAAATCTGATCAGCTGCCTTAAATCAACGGAGCACAACCTTTTGATGCTACAGCCAGAAAACTGTCTGCGCCACAGGAGGACCTGATCCTTATATCCTGTTATGTCAGTACGCGCACATGCACCGACTCTGGTTACGGAGAGAGCAGGGATGTATTTTAGCTCCTCCGTTTGCTCCGGCTCGTCTTCTTTTATATTCAAATTCTGTGCGTTTGATGTCTTCGAGCATGGCTCGGCGAGCCCGTGTTGGTTTGTGTTTCTGAGAGGTAGCAGTAGTCTGTGATTAGGCCCTGCTTTCCTTGTGTCAGCACTGATAAGCAAGGCCAGGCTCTCTTTGATACGACCAGTGGTCTGTCAGAGCCCTGGTTTAAACTGACAGCTTATCTGCATGCTGCTCTCCTGCCGTCTTCTGTTCATCGGATGGGAATCGAACGCCACTCGCTCAAACCGCGACGCTTCTTATACTTTACAGAAGGGGCTTCTTAAAAGACAAAATTACTGCTTCCAAGATAAACTCCTTATGCTCAAGTAATATAGCTGATTTTTTTTCTCCTTAAACTGGTGAAGAATAATATTTTAATATTGCAGTTCTGCAGCCCGCCTCAAATTAAAACGATTGGAAGTGGCCTTCCTTAATTCCTATTAGTCAATATGAAAACAGTTACTATTGTTATTGTTTTTTTTCTGCAGTGTAACTAAATGACAGTTTTATTATTGTTGTAAAAATTCTCTGTCAGCATCATCTCCAAGCAGTTCTGCCAGTATGACGGTAATTGAATGATTTGCTGCTTCGTTCTGCAGAAGCGTTGTCGTTGGGCCCAAGAAAGCGGGTGGGATGCCTCCTCAAGGCCCCGCCGCCTCCGTCCAGACGTCCTCTGCTGCCTCGGTGTCTGCCGGGAGCCCAGCTGACAGTGTCGCTGTGGTTTCTTCTGACGACGCCTCTCAAGCTGCCTCTGTAGACTCTGCCGCTTGTAAGTGCACACACACACACATTGCATTAACACAATCATAGAAGTATAGTAGTAGCAAGGCAGTGTTTCAAGGAAGGACAGCATCTGGGTCCTCTGAAGAAAAAGTCAATATTTATTTAGAGACTCCACTCCTCTGTGCGCCTGCTAGAATAATATTGTCTGAACAGCGTAATCCACTTAAGACAAGAGAGGTCACCATAAAACACAGGGGGGACGTTAAATTACTTGACTTTGAGATATAAGACAGAATACTTATTTTGTGGAAAAAAAGTAAAACTTATTTAATACAAATAATTAGCTTTAGAAATAAGTTCTAAAAGGCATTTTTCTGAAAGGCATTTTTTTAAATTAGTATATTTTGGCATTAAGTGTGATGTAGTGATGTAGATTTTAAAGAGGAGAAATTGTACGACCAGCAAATCAGCAGTGTAGAC